GTTTAAATAAGCTCTGGTAAGACAATAAAGTATAAAAGTATGGATAATTTCAGTTAGTTGACTGCTTGCAATTACTTTTCATTGATTATCTCCTGAGTTATAATACTCAAATTCTTTATAGACTATAGAATTCCATCATTGGGAAAGCTTAATGACCCCTTAAAGGGCCCATATTCTACATTTTGTTTACATTTATTTTATACCCCTTTGCACTTTTAGCATTACGTGTGGTTTTATGCATAATTCTTTTTTATATGTTCATTTTCCAACCTGTATTTGTCCCTTAGAATTAAACAGGCTGGTTTTGTTATTGTGTGCTAAAACAGAAATTGGGTTCAGTGTCATTAACCAACATGTGTTACTTCATAACCTAATTTATTTGTAGTTTTTCAAAGGCTTTAGTAATTCAACTGCTGCAGCAGATACATCAGAATTTAATGAGAAATTGCAAGAACTATATCACATTCTCATTAACAATAATGAGTTATATGAATGTTATAAATAAATAAAAATATATTAAAAATTTTTTTACAAAACTTATGTTATAAATAAAGCTAGCTTTTTCTGAACTACATACACATGTAAGTGTTCTTCAGAGCTTATTGCTCTAGTGCTGGTCATTAGAAGAATTATATTCACTTTTACAGAGGAGGTAGTGGAACTGTTTTAGGCTATATCCTGCACCACACACTGTCAACTGACTAGTTTGGAAGTGCCTGTGGTGTGTCCAAAGGGTACCAGTAGGAGCCTTGAGTGAATTAGCATATAAGTGCATTACATGTTAATGCAGGGGCTACAAGCCGAGTGCTTTGATTCCTGTGCTCCAGGCAGGAGCTGTATGTTTCCAATGGCTGGTTTCCTGAAGGAGGGTCTGCGCCTGGAGAGCAGGCTGGGGGAGAAAGCTAGCTTCCTTCTACGCTACAGAGAATTCACTTGAGAAAGTGGAGCATCCTATCTCCTCTGCCTCTCTGGTAGAGGTAGAGCCTCTAATGATGACAAGCTGTCATTTAGTGTCAGCTCAAGGTTTCTTTATTTTGCTCTTAGCGAGTTTTTCCTTGCCACTGTCGCCATTGGTTTGCTTATAGGGGCTTGGACCCGGATTTTTCTGTAAACTTACTTAAGTAAAACTTGCTGTAAAGCTTTGTGACGGCACCTGTAAAAAGTGCTATATAAGTAAACTTTGACTTGACTTGACATTAAATGTTCATGCTGCAGCTGTTGTGACAAAAACAATATATCTGTGAAATGCTAACTTTTACAGGAGAAGGAAAAAAATCTGCTTAACTTAAATGGCTAGAATCCAAACTTTTATTACACAGTTCTGTAACATAATAAGACCTCAGCCAGTTTAAATTGCAGTCCATGTAATTGCTGAATAATAGGCTTTAGCATGTACTATGCCTGGGACTTTAAGGGGTTAATGTAAGTAAATGTAATGAGATTTTAAGACGAAGTAATTTAGGACTATTTCAATTGGTCTACTCATCATGAAATGTTCATACAGTGTAAAAGGCTATTTACGTTTTTTCAGAGCATATTTAGTTGTGTATTTTACATCATAAGCTTTTGTATATCATTTGTTGATATGGAAAACTACTGGTGCTTTGGACAATCCAGTGAGATGAAATTTAGCAGATTAGGTCTTGACTTAAAGCTCTGTCATTAAGCACAGTTTATGCAGAGGCCATATACAAAAAAGGCCAATACACTAGATTTGTACTTTCTTAGTACTAATATTAACTTGATAACTTCACTTTAGAATTGGGTGACAGTGCGTCTTCATTTAGAGCTAACTGGCGGATTTACAAGCCTCAGTTCCAAAATATATGTGAAATGCTAATAAAAACATAATGAAAACAGTGCTTAGTAAATGCACTTTGACTGATATGTTAATGAGAACAGTACAAAGACAAGATAACTAAGGTTTCACCTTATTAACTTCTGTTTTGTAAAGACAATGAAATAAATGAATAAATAAATAAATAAAAAACATAAAAAAAGAATCCTTTATTGGCAAGGATGGGTCAAGGCTTGCCGCTTTACCAAAAAATATGTTTAAGAACCAACTTCCTCAATGAGCGACTGCAAAGACTTTCACCCTCTTAAGGTTTCACTCTTTGCGATGAATAATATCATCAAAAGTTTCAGAGAGTCATGTACCTGTGCATAAAGGACAAGGGTGAGAACCACAAATGAATGCCATTTGATCTCTCACACAGCACTGCATTGAAAACCGGGATGCTTCTGTGACAGAGATCACCACATGGGCTCAGAATAAACACTATTTGTTGCTGCATGCACAAATGCAAGTTAAGATTGTACTATGCACAACAGAAGCCATATATCAACAATGGACAGAAAGAGGGAATGTATCGTCCTCTGATAAGTTAGTCCCTCAGATTGTGTATGAAACTAATGGGCGTCATGTTATCTGGGCCAAAGAACAAAAGGACCATCCACATTGTTACCGGCATAAAATTCAAAACCAGGGTCTGTTATGGTATAAGAGAGTATTAATTCCCACAATATGAGTAACTGTGAAGGCACCACCATTAACACTGAATCATATATACAAATTTTGGGGCAATGCATGTTACCTTCTAGACTATGTCTTTTTCAGGGATGTTCATGCATATTTGAAAATGACAATGGCAAACCACATTATGTATGTGTTAAAACAGCATAATCAGAGAGTGCAGGTGCTAGACTGGCCTGCCTGCAGTCCAGACCTGATAACATGCTCCTGTCACAACTTTTTAAAATGTGTTGCAGGAATCAACATAAACATGCTCTGGAAAATGCTTGATTCATCCTAGTTTTTGCTTAATAAGTAGGTAATGAACAACTAGCAACTTCTGTTATTAAAAAATAAATAAATAAATAAAATTATTTATTTATTTATTTATAATAATTAGTATAACAGGAGAGTGGCAAAAAGTTACTCTTTCAAAACATGCTCCTGTCACAACTTTTTAAAATGTGTTGCAGGAATCAACATCAACATGCTCTGGAAAATGCTTGATTCATCCTAGTTTTTGCTTAATAAGTAGGTAATGAACAACTAGTTAATTAGCAATTATTGGCTTCATATATATATATATATATATATATATATATATATATATATATATATATATAAGCACGTGTTGACGTCATTAGGCTTAAGAGCGTAATAATGGACTTCTGAAATGATTTGCAAATGATTGTGCTGTATAATGCATAGAAAAATGTTCTGGATAATGCTTAATTCACTGTAATTATTGATTGATTGATTAATTATTGATTTATTATCATGATTCTCTTGCATATCCCTCAAATTAAAACCTTTGACTACATTAACTATTAAGAACATTTATTCACTTTGGACATAATCTCTTTTAGAGAATGTTCGAAATAGATAAATAGCTAACAGTTTCCTCCAGTTGTACTCATATGTGCACATGCAGTGCCCCACATAGGAACACAGCCTAATTTTCATATTAGTATTGATCAGCCATCAAAAGCCACCCTTTCATAGAACCCAACAAGTGGGTCATGTATTGTCAGAAAGTACACCATGTACAGGGTCATGCATTTTCTGCTGTTTATTTCTCTCTCGTGGAGAGTGGCTAGATGTAGATGGCAGGTCCCTACACTCCTCATTTATCTTCTGTTTGGTCTCTGTTAGGGCCACTTGAGGAGCTCTCCTCCTGCTTTGGATCACAGACCTTCTGCTCTCAGCATCTCAAGATTTATATAATCGAGAGCAGCAATTAGTGAAGCATCAGTACTGTGTATGATTCTACTTTGAGTGGGCCTGTTCATCCACTAGAGCACAATTACAGCCATTATTCAACATGTGTCATTTTATTTAAATGATCAACATAGCAATATTTTTTAATGCTCAAAGCAGGCAATTAAGCATGAAGAGCATTGGTGAAACAATGAATAGTTCAATGCTAAACACAGGTGAAAGCTCTTAATATAGCAACAGGATCCTACAACACTGAACTCCATTTCTTTCTATATAGACTATATTACTCCTTAACTCTCTAATCAACCATGAGAGATGTTTATTTGAAAATACTGAATGGCATGGTTTCTGCTTGTGCTCTACCATGATGGATTCAATCCTGTAAGATGCTACAGGAATGTTAGGGGTCAGTCCGGACACCTGGTCAGAAATCTCACCCCCCAGACAATGCATTCTGTAGAGCAGCCCTTCCTCTTTCCCAACGTATCCAGAACTGACCCAACAGCTGTCGGTTAGGCTGAAAATAATACAGTTTCTGGCACCAGGCAAAATATTTAAAGCTGGAGTTCTCCAAAATAATGTCTAATTTCACACCAGAGCACATATTGTGCGCTCTTTGCATTCTTGGGCTGAATTTGGGTCGTTCCTCTGAGCAGAAGATCTCCACATTCCTCTGGTTTATCTAAGTCTACATTAGGACATGTTTGCAGTGGATGTGTAGAATCTGTTAAAACTGACATTTGCTCACAGCCATTGGAATTGGAGTTCTTAGCTAAACAGGAAACACATTCCAGGTTTGACATTTAAGGCCATATACATTATAATTTCTCTGCATATGTTGAACTGCGGGAAGCTTCTCAATGTTTGTGGCTTTGTGAAAAATGAGGTTGTCCTGCTGCATTTGAATGGAATGACAGTATTCCTTCTGGGATTCATCATGGTCTCAGTGTTTTCCCAAAATTGGTCAAAACTCTGTCAGACTTGGTCTAGAGTGAAACCCTTTTGGAGTGCATTTCTGAGTCATCAAAATGCCTTATAATTTGACCATGATTTATTCATTTAATATTACTGACATAAGTGTAAAATTACTTGGTGCAGCTAACATAATGAGAATGATATCAATTCTAACAGTCAGTCATTTAAATGTTTGGGGAGTACATTCAATACAGTCAACATAGTGTATTTGCCAAAAAAATGTATCAATTTATTTTAGCATTGCAAACACATTGTTTTATCCAACAGTCAAAACAATGTAACATAACAATTAACACTTTGGTAGAAACATCTCACACAAATTACTTACAGAATTCACATGCCTGTAAATTACAAGACTGCAGACAAAATATATTAAAGTAAAGCTTCTATTTGAACAAGTCTGCTACTCATTCATACTTTCTTAACCACATTAACACAGAACTGCCCTTCACTGTACCAACACAGGCAGTTCTTTCAACAGAACCAGTGGCAAGTACATAAACTCAAGGTTTTTGAACATCAACCACCAAATAGGAAAAGTTCAAGAAGGTTTACTAAAAAGTAGGAAAATATACCTCTTAGACTCTGATATATTTAAGTAGCGTCCTTCATTGCAGTTCCTCTCTGAGAGCTCTTTGTGCAGGTGGTAGAGCTCTCCAGCCAAATTCATTAATGATTCGCTCTCCGTGAGCACACACCAGACACACTGACTCAAAACAAGATGGTTTGCTTTTGCAGAAAGGCTGTTTTCCTCCAATTTCATTATTGTGCTTGTCTCGTGGAGGGAGACAAAGTTTCCTTTCCTGAGTCGCTTCCCAGGAAATTTGAAAGCTTTCCAGGGAAAGATTCCACAGTGGGACTGTGGGCCATCTCACATTGCTCTTGTGAGAGCTGCTCTAGTCCAAGACTGTGTGTCACAGGCAGGTACTCTCTATTTCAGAACCAGACACTGGCCTTTGCTTTGTCCTGTTCCAATGCTGTGGGGAGCAGAATAAGACATTTTAGTAGAGCTTGGATGCATATTCAAGAATAATAGCATTTAGGAAGCTGAGATATGTGCACAAACTATATCTGCTCCTCTTCTTACCTGTGTCATAGATATCCACAGAGCCATGGAAGGATGCTGGCCAGCTGGGTGCTGTTGAGCCACTGGGCTCCAGCTCTGTCTTGACTCCCTCTGCATTTAAGGAAGGGCTGCAGGATGGCCTCATGCCAGGCAGCAGAAGCGGACTAAAGCGGGGGTCCAGGGCTGTACTGTGGGCGTGATGGAGCATGGGGTGGGCGTGGCGCGGATGCATATGAGGGTACATCTCATGGACGTGAGGGTATCCAGCGCCACTTTGGCCGGCCAGGCCATAGGGCCAGGAGTCAGTGAGAGCTGATGGAGGGGGCAACCCAGGCTGGGTCAGGCTGTGGCCACTCCATAGGCCAGTGTCTGCTGTGTGAAAGGCCGCAGTGGCAGGGAAGTCACCATGAACAGAAGAGATGCAGGGGCTGGTGGTCTGTGATGGGTAACTGCTGCTCCACAGTGAGGAGGGCAAGGAGCCACACTGACCATCAGTGAGAGAGCCTCCATCTGAAAACCACAAGCAACAAGTTAGTCACTGAATATCAGTTTGTTATACAGAACATACAGAATAAAAACATAAGTACAAAGCATATATTACAGGTCACCTGTTAACCTCTTAACTCTTAATGGTCCACACATTAGTTCCCACTCCCATAACTACATAACTTACATAATAGTTACTGAATAATAAGCCTAGGATTCAATACAATGTCCGTGTGCATAATGTTAGCCTTCCACTGGCTCACACGTTTTTCAAGGGTTCTCTTACCTTTCCATGATACTCCAGACGCGTGCCTGTGGCTTTTGGTGTCGTTAGTGAAGGCACTAGGTTGACTGAGGGCGCGGGAGAAGTGCTCGTCCACCACATCCCCGATGTCCCCACGGAAATACGTGAAGAGCACACACCTGGCACTCAGGTACTCAGCCTCAGCAGGCTGCGCCTCCTTACACCTTGCCTCCTCCGCAGCAGTCTGCTCCTCTTCTCTCCGAAGGTCGGGCTCAGCCCTGGACTTCTCAGCCTGTTTACTCTGGCCACAGTGCACAGGCAAGTCAACAGAGCCTTGCATCTTGCTGTAGGTGCTGAACTTTTTCTGCAGACAGGCAAAGAAAAAAATGAATAAATGAGAATGAATAAAAAGTTGAGTTTTAAAAATTATGTTGCCTACACTTTTGGTTTCTAATGCTGAACTAAAATAGATCACTGCACATTTGAGAATCCTCTTTGAATCACTGGCCCGCTGCCTGCACTTGGCACATAAGTGGTATGCTGCCCACACTTTGTAACAGTGTTGTGCTGCTGCACTGCTGAACGCAAGCTTGTATTGCTCAGATAATGGCTTGAGGTGCTCTATGTGAGGGACTGCAGGAACACGGTCTGTTGTCATTCATTACTTGGATATTTGGTCTTTAATGTGCTGCATCCTTTGAATTCTTGTGCTGATAGAACATGATCATGCACGTAATAATGTGCAGAGTGTTTTATGAGGAACAGATAAAATATTTGTGATTCTTCATACTAGCTGTCTGTTTTAATCATACTAACTACATCATCTTGACTGATTTCTCTCCAGCTTGAAGGAAAGCTAATATAAACATATAAAAGCTAAATATAAAACTGCTGTCACCAGAAGTCTTTTACATAATATATTATAATTAAATCACCAAAGCATTTTCTTGTCTCAGTAAAAGGTGTCAAAAAAACTGAATTCTCAACTTTTTAGGTGCCATCTGTGTAGTTAAGCAGGAACTTAGAAGAGACCTACCTGCTGCTGGTGATGATGATGGTGATAGTAAGCTGCTTTGTAGGCTGCTGCCGCTGCCACCGATGTCGCTGGCAAGTAGTGATGAGCTCCATAATTCTGATGATACATAACATCCAGACAACTCATGGCAGAGGGCTGTAATGTGGAGGGATCTTCAGAAAGGGCTACGCTGGGCTTCTCTGCGAGGGTTAACGGCTAACGGCACCATTCCCCTCTTTATAAAGCCGAGCGTTGACAAAAGCACTGCAGTGTATAAAAGGAGAGATTAGCATAAAAAACGTGTCCCCATCGAGACTTCGTCCATCAAAATAAAGGAGCCAAGGCAGAGTGAGTCTCTCTAAAGAGTCTCCAAACTTACAGGAGCTCTCCGATTGGGTGGAAGTTTAGTGCGCGGCACGCTGATTGGATAGAGCTGAGAGGAAAAACCGCACACACCCATTTCATCAGGTTTGACAAACCGTGCAGCGAATTTTTCAGAATGAAACGATAAACACGAGATGGCTGATTTTGAGCAGTTATCGCTGTAATCAGTTACACCAGACCAGTCTGTATTTGTGTCACAATCGAAGATGGATTATTATAGTAACAACAACAACAACAACAACAACAACAATAATAATAATAATAATAATAATAATAATAATAATGGTTGTCTTCCATGGTACAGTGGTAAACCTGGACATGAGCAGCCTGGGTTTAGTAATACTTTCTCTCTTTATTTGCATTTATTCTGAGTGGATGATTAATGCTTACATTTTATTTGTCGTGCAGTTTCTTATTTTATTTATTTGTTCTTAGCTTTGTGAGTGCAGTTGGTTGCTGGTTGCAGCCACATACTTGATTAGTAATGTATTTTGTTTGTCCTTGTTTGTATATTAATTAGCAGTTTTGTGCTAAATCAGGATCAGGCATGTGCTGCCCCCTGCTGTAGGAATGGTGTAGTCTCCTGGCCAACAGCCCCTCAAACCTAAATACTTAGACTCAGTGCTTCCGAAGCCAGAAAACACAGAGTTCATTGTGCAAATTAGATAAAAGCTTATTTAAATCCGATATCACTCCAGGCTAAAAACAAAGTCGATATGTAATTGAGTGTAGATGTAAATGTCTGAGGTTCACAGTACAGTCATAATAATGTGTGGAAAAAATGAACAGCCCCGTGATTCTGTACAGTGGCACAGAATTTTGATGCCTCACTGTAATGGTATAGTCTGCCAGCAGTTATAGGCTCTCTGTTAGCACCACATCTGTCCTGTTAAGGGACAAGTGAATAATCAGCCTTACGTGTATTTTCAGACTTATGCGTTTATTATTTAGTTGTGTACAATAGCAAACTACATCTAATGTTTTCCTTTTATTCCTAAATCAAAGCAGATCACTGTCAATCATTACACTAATTGTAGAACCAAAACATTGAAGTTTTGTCAGGGGACTTACTGCTATCATAGCGTGATCTGTTGAGACACAGAGCTGTTCAGAAAAGAATGTGTGGTTCACATTATTATTCATTTTCCCTATCCAGCCCCAGTGGCTTGCATAGTTATCTCATCTGCTCTAGTGTTTATTACAAATGGTGCATTCACTTTAATGGCAGTGATCACAGATGGAGATGTGAATAATTTAGCTGTGTTGTGATACTGAGTATGTGGAAGATCTGGGGCACAGTGACTGGATGGGGACTAATAGTTTTCTCTCGCACGCACATGCTGACCCTGTAGGCTAATATCTGAGAATCTCACTACAGAGGCGCTGTCTCCCTGTACTCCTCTCTTCGCTCTTCCACAGATGATTACAATCATTTTCATAAAGGGAGTCTGACAAGAAAAGCAGGGGAAATAAAGGAGGATTTTTTTTAAGGGAGTTATTTTTTTCTCTTTTTCTGGCCCAACTACTCACAAAGGTGATTTCAGAGACTAAACACATCCAGTGGAATGGCATGCTTAATTATACTACACTGGCACATACATACCACAGTGCTGCATGGTGCCATTTTATTCAGAGAGAAAAGAAAAACCCAAGACTAAATAGCTGGATTTGGCCATACATTTTCAATTCTGTGCTTATGACAGGTAAAGAACAGAGTAGTTTGGCTTTTCACAGCCAGTTCAGTTCATGTTACACTAACAGAAGCTCACAGGTGTGCAGCAGTCAGACAAGTTGATGTATTATGTCATCTAAATGCCATCACATCAGCTTAGACCTTTGAGCTGGGAAATGTGCCTGCGGAAGTGGTTTGTTTTTAAGCAGAGCTGCTGACATTAACCCCCAATTAAATACAAATTAGTGCTTCTGCCTTTGGTTGTGCACATGCACTGAACTTTTAAGAAAGTGCAGATAACGGGCATTTTGTGTCTTGCATTATCGATATGTTCTCATATTTCATATGCCCAGACAATATTATTACATTCTTAACATATTGTATATAATGTATGTTATCATTACATTATCACCATTCCACTAACAGTGGCAGCAGTGCTGCATCCACACATTTCTTAATATATGTAAATATATGTAAAAATGCCAATATATGCACATATATATATACATACATATATATACGTAAGGGTGTCAATGTTTAATAATCACATATATGTCAAAGGTATATGTAAATATATGACAGAAATGATGCATACTTTGAAATATACTGTCATTTGCAAAGGTTTGAACAGTCCTGGTCTAAAGACATACTTTTTTGATTTCCTGAGTAAAAAGTACACAATAAAAGCATTAAAATTTAGACATTTAAATATGGCATTTTCTACAAGTTTTAGTGCACAATTACTATTTTTTTGCTGAGTTTAACATATTGGAAAAAATAAAACATTAAATATAAAGTGTGCCGTAACTTTTGTACGGACCACTTTTATGTATTTTTTCCCCAATATGTCAAATTCAGCAAATAAACATTAACTGTGCATTTACAAATGTGCAGAAGTGTATTTTCTGTAGTAGCGTGTGTTTTTATTTTCACTTCGAAGATCAACAAAACATGTCATTTAAATAGGGGTACCCAAACTTTTGAATAAGGCTGTATATGTAAATATATTTCCTTTGAGTATGGGTAAGATCATGACAAGAACAACATCTGTTAAGTATTAAATTAATAACATCATCAAATTACAACATATTCAATCCAAACAAATGAATAAATGGAATTGTTGCTGGTTTGAAAAGACAGTGAGTGTAATAAGAGTCTGAATGTGAGTGGGAGTGCAGTGATCTTTTCCCAGTCTTGGTTCTGGCTGAATGTGTCCTCTCTCTCTCCTCCAGATGGTGGGATAGAAGCGCAGCCCCCAGGACGTGATCGATCCCCAGAGATGTGGAGAGGAACACTAAACTGTTCATCCTCTGCTTTGCCTTCTCACTTACTCAAGCCCTCCTTTGGCCTGTCAGAGGAGAGGAATCAATGTGGATTTTTATCAGGACTGGCAAAAATAGATGCAAATAATACTGTGATTTCGTGAGACAAACAGCTTAGTCATCTCAACTGCTAATTAGAACATGCACATAATGTTCACACCTGCATGCTACTGTGCCACAAGGACTAATTATGCACCTGCTTTAATAAGCTTTCAGCTCACCACTTTAGTCATGATACCTGTGTGTCAGTGCAGCTGAACAGAGATCCAGTTGATCTTTTACCTGTAACAACCTATTGAAAGCATGTACAGAAGACTCACTGAACCATCAAACAGATGTATCAGACAGTAAAGTGTGGCAATGTAGAGATGTGCAATATGGCAAAAATATAATATCATGATGTTTGAAGACAGTTGCACTGTACACAATATGAAAAGTGGTTTGCAAAAGTCTTAAAATCTGTGATTTTTTCATTTAAACTTGGAAATAAACAATGGAATAACTTTAGATTAAAAATAAAATAAATGAAACAAAGTCATGACAAGGTAAATGAAGAGGAAATATTCAAAATTCTGCACTATACCTAGCTCAATATTCAAATTTGAGCAAATTTGTGACATTGAGCATGTCTTTTGTACAATAAGATCTTTTTTTTTATTCAAACCTCCATTGAAGCTTGTGTTCAAATGACTGTCAGATGGATTTGAACTACTGATCAGAAGCTTTTGCACAAACTTGTGGAGTCCATGCCAGCTCAAGTGCACGCTGTCATTAAAGTAAAAAAGGTCGCATACACAAATACTAAGAAATTGTGAAATCCATGTAAAATTTTTAAATATTCTACGTTTCCCTCAGATTATCTACCCCCAAGCTACCAGGGGCCCCCACACATATATTTCTAAAAGTATATTCCATGTCATTTGTAGAAAAAGCACAAGAGTTTAGAGAATTTCTTTTCTGATTAAAATTAAGTATTAATTAAATGAAGTATTAGTCATTTTCCTATTCTGTCATACAGGATATAACTGGGGTGGTTAGGGGACCCCAAGTATGCTGTTTTTATGGCCCTCAAATGTTCAGAAATGGCCCTGCATATCATTTTTGATGTGTCTGAGGATTTCTAAGTTGGAACAGACACAATGCCCCAGCAAAACAGTAGCAGTACATTTAAAAACCCATCAAAACTGTTGAGTACAATAATTTTTTTAATATATATGATATAATGTGCACCAATTAAATTTTGCACCTAATGAAACAGAGCCAGTTATGCACTCTTGGAGTCCCCAGTATTAAAATATAATATTATTAACAATAGAACCAAATCTCTTTTTAATTAATCAGTATAATTCAAATCCACCATGCTCAGAAATGCCTAATTTGATAGAATGTATCACAATAATGGTATTTTATCAATATATCGCCAACCCCTAGGTAGTAAATGGTATAAAAAAATGGGTTTTTATATTTTTTTTCTCATCAATTACACTATTATATAAAAATGAAAACAGTATTTTTGTATTTTTGTAGTAGGACAAGTGTTATGAACACAATAGTCAATATAGAGTGTGAACAATGCATCTACATAAATTTTGAATCTGAGCATATATCATATGCATGTCCTCCTACCCAGTTTCTGTGCTCACTGTCTGTTTGCTTAATGCCTGCTTTAAAAAGCTTTCTATTATCAAGTGTCATTTACCAAACCAGTAATTTCTGAAACCAGTTTGTCTGAAGACTTTAATCACATTTCCAGCAACCTTAATGGAGAAGCATCACACGACCCGATTATTTTTAAGCTTGCATTAAGGGTGATCGTGAAATATTTTGCTCTTCAAGCAATGCAATTTAGTGTGAGTATGAAGAATAAAATCACATCTTCTGCAGAAAGAAGCAATCATGTGCTCATCCATCTGTGGAGCTAAACGGGTGCAAAGTGTCAAGTGCCGACTCAAAG